GAACTTTCCAGTTGGTTAAAGTCTCTTTCTTCCTTCTTGTTTGAGCTAAGGGTACAGGATTGCTGGTGGAAAGCTGTGGCATTTACTCTGTAAATGCCTCCAGCAGAGGCCTGTGTTTCTCTTAAGCTGACACAAAGTAGCTGTTGCCAGTTCATTCATGCTTCTCATACCCCGTTAATTTTTCTTGCTCAGAAAAAGCTTCAAAGAGTAAAGGTTTCTGCACTTTCTTCTGTAGAAGATAGACTTGGCTGCAGGGTCAGAACAGGAGGATTTAAGTGTGATGATGAATAAGATGTGAATAAGCAAATAGTCCTTTGGTGGTTGTAATCAATGGCACAGGGTCTAGCTGGAGGCCTGTCACAAGTGGTGTCCCCAAGGTTCAGTACCGGGCCCAGGATTATTTAACTTGTTCCTCAGTGACGTGGATGAAGGAGCAGATGCCTCCTCAGCAAGTTCACTGGTGACACAAAGCTCCGAGGAGTGGCAGATACCACAGAGGGCTTCAAAATGGTCTTCAAAAGGACCTTGAGAGAGATGGAAGAGAAGAACTGGAAGACTGAGAGATGGGCAGAAAGCAGTGCCTGAAATTCAGCAAAGGCAATTGCAGAGTCCTGTGCCTGGGGAAGAATAACCCCTGCACCAGTGCAGGCTGGGGGCCAACCTGCTGGGAAGCAGCTCTGCAGAGAAGGACCTGTGGGTCCTGGTGGACAACAAGCTGTCCATGAGCCAGCAGTGAGCCCCTGTGGCCAAGGCAGCCAATGGTCTCCTCAGGTGCATTTGGAAGAGCATTGCCAGCAGGTCAGCAGGTTATCCTGCCCCTCTACTCAGCCCAGGTGAGGCCACATCTGGAGTGCTGTGTCCAGTTCTGGGCTCCTCAGCAAAAGAATGATATGGACCTTCTGGAGCGGGTCCATTGGAGGGCAGTAAAGGTGATTAAGGGACTGGAGCATCTGTCTTACAAGGACAGGCTGCAGGAGCTGGGCCTCTTCAGCCTCAAGAAGAAACAAATGAGAAGGGACTTCATCAGTGTCTCTAAGCACCTGAAAGGAGGGTGCCAAGAGGATGGAGCCAGGCTCTTGATGGTCTCAAGCAACAGGACAAGAGGCAATGGGAAGAAGTTGATACACAGGAAGTTCCCCCTGAATATGGAAGATTAAGTTGTTTACTGTGCTGTTGACCAAGCACTGGAAAAAATTGCCCAGGACGGGTGTTGAATCTCCTTCACTGCAGATACTCAAAAACCATCTGGAGACAATCCTGTGCCATGTGCTCTGGGATGACCCTGTTTGAGTAGGGAGGTTGGACCAGATGACCCATTCTGGTCTCTTCCAACCCCACCCATTCTGTGATTCTGTGATTCTGTGTGAATCTCTGTTTCTGGCCATTTCAAAAGCTTGCTATGCAGATTAAATAATACTTTGGCAATGACAATTTTTAGGAAGCACTTGGAGATCTAACTGGGGGTTATTATCTTGTACTCGGTTTCATTGTGAAACTGTACATTTTGCAGTACAGAACACCAGCTCATACTGCAATGATGTTGAATTCTAGATACATGAGGATGTGACAGGTATCTGAAGAAATCTTCTCTTCCTACTGCAACGTATAGAATGGGGATTTTGGGAGCTGAATAGGGCTTTAGTGTGGTGTGACTTTCTTTTGCTCCTTGCAGATTCTGTTTTGCAAAAATCTAAAGCTTTACATGAGATTTAGAATCTAGATAGCTGTCCATCAAACTAAAATGATTTAGAAAACACTTAGTTTTATTAAATTAAAATTTAAATTATTTTGTCTCTCTTCAATCTATTCCCCAAAATAAAAATGCCTACACTGGACTTAGGGATGTAAAATAAATTCTTTACTAGTAGAGACTATTTAAATATTGACTCTAGCTTACAGTGATAAACTCCACTAAAGGGGAGCAGGAGTGTAATCAGCTGCCTTATCTTACCTTCTGAGACCATCACTGTTAAATCTATTCTTTCTGTATTGAACTGGGATTATCTCTTTACTATCCCTTAAGTATTTTTCAGTGTATCTGAACTTTAAACCACCAACTACATTTTATTTAACAGGAGCCTAATATTTACGTTTGAGGGTATAATTGCAAATCTACACTTTTCATACTGAATTAAGTATGAGAGAACACAGAGTGTTTGGACACACATAAAATTTAGGTGGCATTTTTATCTTTAGGGAGTTATTTTGTATATTTATGTATATATGTACATATGTATATGTACCAAGGTATGTATGTGTATATATTACAGCTACTGTAAAATCTACAGCCTGTGTACCAGGCTGAATGTTTTTAAATACAATTTTGGGCTCTTCTTCAAGCTTTTTGTGTTTGTGTTCCCAGTTATTTCTAAAACATCCGCACTGGGTAGCTCCATTGACCATGAAAATAATATTCAGCCTTTGATTTTTGTCTGGATATAGTAACCTTTCATTTTGAGCAATAGCTATTTCTCACTTAACTCTACATTTTCCTCCAGGAATCTGGTGTATCCATAGTTCCTGGGGTGAAACATTTCCAATTACAACAGATTTTGTGCCCACACTAGCTTTGTCCACTCAGAATTCAGGTCAAAAGCAGAATTATATATTTTTTTCTTTTTAATCTATTGTGACATATGAAGACTAATTAAATGCTCCATATAAGTTCTAATCGTAACCAGAAAGTCATTAAATAATACCATTTATTTTGAAACCTGGATGTTGCAAAGTGTAAAAAGGAGTTAAAATTTTTATTTGTGAAACTTCTCTAGAAAAATGCAGATCTTGTTGCCTGTCACCTTTCCTGAATTTGGTGTTTGAGGCATGGATGTTGTCCTTACCAGAAGAGCATTGCCAAGTGTTGTATAGTTGTTCTGTCTACATACTAAATGTTTAATTTTCAGATGTTTACTGTTTATGAAAGCATTTGTGTGAGTAGATGTGTTGAGATGTCTTTTCTTTGTTAGTAATTGAGGCCAGTACATAGTTTCTCACTTACTTGGGTATGCTTTTCACTATTCAATTAAAGTTGTTTGGAGTACTTTTTTTAATTGAGCAAGATTTTGTTTTTGAAGTGGCCCCACACACTTAACTGGTTTTAATTCTGCAATTCATTCCAATGAGATAATGGTATATGCCTAGTTAGAGCTCTTTGGAACATTTTTGAGTAGATCCAGTATATTTTATTTGCTAGTCCTCTTATATTTGAATACACTATTCTTTGCTGTAAACTTAAGAGTGTAAATATGAAAGGAGATGCCATGAGTTCTCTTTGGGTTCTCAAAGTTTGTTGTTGTCAGATTTCAAATAAAATGGGGTAAACTGGTAGGTTTTTTCTTCTCTCTTGTGAGTAGTGACACAGATTTGACCATAAGAAAAGTGTTGACTTTTTTTCTTGCAAAATGGTTGTTTTGAAGCTACACTGTTAAAGTCAGTATTCTGATATTCCCTGTGACACTGAGTGTAGAAGATGAGCTCCTCCACAGCTGTGCACAACGTGGATCTCATGTCTCCAGAAAAAATCAGGCAATTGAGATTGTTTGTAGTATAATGGGGAAGTCTGTGTAGTAAGTGGATATTGTTTGGCTTGGAATGATTTATCAATTGGAGTAACAAAGTGCTTTAACTCCAGTTTTCAGTCATCATAATCCTCTTGTAATATACATTAGGAGTAATTTATGAATTATGCACATAACAGCATCAGTCCAAGTGGATGAACTGAGGTAGATTACCTCAATGAAAAATTATTTTTAATTGTGTACTTTAATTCACAAAGCCAGTGATTAGACTGTCATGCCTACTGAACAGACTGTCTGTATATAGAGAAGATTTTTCCAGGCAAATTATGAAAAGAAATTTAGGAGATTCAGAAATTTTTTACCTTGAAGTATATGTTGATATAATGTAATTCTAATACTGTTCCTACCTGTAAGAATTAAATAGAAATGTTATTTTAAAACTAAAGTTAGATTAGGAATCTTATCTGTCACCAATATCTTGTAACTCCTCCAAGGGATTTCTCTTAGAGATATCAGAAAAGAAAGCACTTAAATAGCTTTGAATGTGCTTCCTCTTAAATCTGTACTTAAATCTGATTATTGAGGGCTCTGCCATTATTAGAACTAACAGAAACCATCAATCAAATATGTTGCTCCTTCCCTGTTGACTTCTACCCTCTGTGAGGGTGGTTACTGGTTCCAGTGACCTCCTCAGCTGCTTGTGCAAGACCTCCTCAATTGCAAGATTTTATGGTTGTTGGAAGAACTATAGCAAAGTGATGAAGTTGGAAGAACTATAGCAAACTATGATGACTATAGCAAAGAGAGGTAAAGACAGCATCCTTCTGTCTACAGCTGTTTATTTTTAGTTAATTATACGGCTGAACAGAACTGTATTTAGGTAGTTCAGTAAAAATTCTCAGTATTTTGGACGTCATTGGTGCTAACACTTGACAAACAAATTGTGCCTACTTGCTAAAGGCCTTGCCATCTTTTGTAAACAATGTTTGTTTTGAAGGTAGCTCTGTTTAGATGTGGAATAAAGGAACAGAAATGAGGGGGGAACAATCAATGTGTCAAAACCATAGTGTCATGATTTTAGTATTGTTTGGAGTATTCAAGGTATCCTTTTGGCAGAGTGGAGATAACACAGGCAAGATGGGCCCTGTTGGACAGCAATTGTAGGCCTGTAGAAACACTGTAAATTCTCTGAAATAACATCTGAATCCAACCTCAGCTGACAAAGTGAATTGAAAAGGAAATTTTATCCAAAAGGAATGAAACATAGCAGGGATACAAGTCTGTCTAGAATTAAGATCTAACACATCCTCAGCCCACAGAGGGTAAATTCAACTTTACTCTTAAAAATGTGCAGGAATATATAGAATACAATAGCATTCATTGGTTGTACAGTCTGAACAGCTTGTTAAAAGCTGAGGAACAATAATAGCTTATGTTGTACTTGTCCTTGATTGAATTGAACTTGTTCTGCTTCTCTTTTAGGTTATGGTCAGACTGGTCCAGTGGTTCAGAGAGGTGGATATGACTCCGTTGCTGCTGCTGTTTCTGGTCTCATGCATATCACAGGGCATGAGGTATAGTGTACAACTTACAGATTTCATAGAATCTTAGTGCCATGTACCAAAACTGGCTGCTGTGTGGAACAAGTCAGCTCAGTCATAACACATCTGTTATGCAGACCCTCCTGAGTCCAACAAGAGGTCTCATTTCTGGGAATCTAAGAAAATAATAGCACTTACATAGTTCAGTTATGTCACTCCAGGCTTGTAAAGAAAAAGGCTCAAGAAACAGAAAATTAAAGAAAAATCCTAAACCTCCAGTGAATAAATTGGCAATGTATTCTAATCTGTTAATGTCCATTTGTAGTCACTTCAAGAGCTGTAGCAGGCACATTGTTGACAGCTGGATGATAGAACCATACCTATGAGTGTGAAGTCTCACTGATGCTTGGATATTGCTATTCCCTTTGTAAAAGCGGGAATTGTGAAGCTATCTAGACAAATATGACAAAAGCTGGGTGTTTTTCAATCATTCTGCCTACAAATAGGCAGAAAGATGCCATGCATTTCTGGAAAAGCTTTATGTGCTGCCTATTCCCACTGACACCCAAGATCTTTGTTAGCTGTGGCAGTGCAGGAAGCATAACAGTAGTTTAGTATCTGAATTCTAGAGGTACACAGAACATGTGTTTTCACCTCAGAAAAATGCTGGTCAAATAAGCATTTAATTAAGCTCTCTTGAATCACCTACAGATGCAGGGAATATGGTCCTGAAATGTCACTTTTCAAATGAAGTAGCGTTACAAGTCTGTTTTATGCATTATAAATGCTAGATACTGTTCTGTGGTGGTGCTCCTGGTACTCTGGAAGCAGTAGTGCAGATCTAGTGAGTATGATACTTGTATTTTCTAGATAAACCAGGAATTCATAAAGTTTCTGTACTAAGTGTCAGCTGTTCATGTTTGAGTAGGTTGTTGGAAGCTAGCCACACAATCTGGATACAACTCTATTGTAGGGTTGATATTCTGCCAATAGACTTATTTTCTACTGAGAACAATGGCAAACATCAGAAGTTTGTACTTCTGGCAACTATTGTTATCAGAGTTGTTCTTTTTATTAAGGAAAAAAGCCAAAATCAAGCATTTTTGACTGAGTAAGCTGAAACATCTTGTGCCTAGTTTTCTGAGGCTGTCCATTTCTGCTGTGTTATTGGCATGTACTCATAGGATGTCCCATGTCAGAACATGAGAAAATTGAAATTGAGTGCAGTCCTTACAGGCACTTCCCTTTAAATATATAATGTTTATGTGCACTAAGCAATGACTGATCACAGTAGCTGTAGTGTAAGTAAATTTAACATTGTGTCTGTAGGATAGAGTTTAATACTTCCAATACAATTCCAAAAACTTCATGCACACCTCAAAATATACCAATAAAAAATTGAAAGGGTACAAAAACTGTTAGAAGGGGGTAACTGTTGTTGTTAGTACAACATGAATGAAGGAAGGTAGATAGAAAGATTGAAAAACACAGTACTTTTGTACAGCTTTTCAATGATATGTGAATGCCAGAATAAATAACTGTTACACTGAATAATTGTATGCAAGTTATATTATGAAAATAATAGTCCTCAGTGGCTGTTATGAAGATGGATTTTATTAAAAGATTAAGGTCTACACTGGAAAACTAGATGTTTGCGTCACCTCACCAAGACCTGAGGTAGTGTGATCGTAGGAATCATTTAGTCACTGTCAGTTACAGCTTTGTCTGTTCGCTGGGGACTTCTAAGAATTCATTCAAACTTAGTCACTCTTTCACATGATTAAAATAAGCATGCACAAATTTTCTTATTTTTCTTTATTTGAAGTTGTTTATGTAGCATTTCTTCAGTTTCTCAAAGCCATTTTTTGATTTATAGATGGACAGTATTGTTTCTAAAACTCTGTACTCAATGACTCCAAAAAAACAAATGTGCTTGTTGTTGTTGTTGTAGTGGAGATTTATCCAAATGGCTGTAAAATCATAGTGTATGCTTGTTTGAAAGTTATTTTAAACTACTGAAGTATTATTAATACTTAACTAAATTAAAATTTTTTTAAACATTTATGTTCATGTGAGAGAATTTGTTTAAAATTTCACAAAACTAAGTCTGAACAAAAGAAGAAAACCTTGTTTCATTCAACATGTAGAAAAGTGGCCAAAGCAAAAGAATAAAAAAGAAAAGAGCTTCATGCTGTTTTTTTAAAATAAAGCATAAATTATTTGTTGACTAGATAATGTGGAATTAATGTGCTAAAAGTAATAAGTTCATTTCAGTGGGTAGACTAGGTTCTGATTTTTTTTAGAATAAAATAGAAAATGCCACTCATAAACTGGAAATGAAAAGAAAGGAAAAGTTATAACAGATGATGTTGGTTTTATATTTAATTGCAGTAGCTATGGATAATCAGAATAACATCATCAGTGCAACAGTGTTCTTTTTTAACATCCCTTTTGTAAACAAACCATTGAATGTTTTTGCAGGATGGTCTTAGAGGCATCAGCTGATGCAACAGAGAAATTGAATGAATCTGAGCAAGCAGCAAAAAAACATCTACATACCTGTCTGAGGTGTTGAATGTTGAAGTATACATATTTATATCAATGTATACATATTTACAGTTCCTTAGAAAGCATTTTAATAATAGGGTATTAAAATTTTGTCCTGTATCTGACATATACAAAAATGTATAATCCAATAGCAGCATATATTCCTGTCTATAAAAAAAAATTTAACAGATTGGTTTTTTTGTTTCTCTTGTTTTTTTTCCTGGCATCACTTAATGGTAATAACTTTAAAATGCTTCTGAGTGATATTCTGAACCTTGAAATCAAGTTATAAGTTCTGCAATATTGCAAAAATATTGGCACAAACAACTGCATTTGTGCTAGTGTTGTTTTTGCTGATTATACATACCCAAGCACAGTAGAATAGCGTCTTTAAATCATGATTTTGAGTACAGAAACCTGGAAGCTCTTACACATGTACTTGATTACTTGTGTATTAGAAGTGTAACACACTTATGAAATTTGAAATTCTAATTGAAATTTCTATGACTCATCAAAACTATAACTTGAAATTAATTAAATAAAGCCCAGTTTGGTTACAAATCCCCTTCCATCTCCTAGTGGATTATTATATGTTGTCTTGAATACTTGAAGTAGCTTTATGGTGGTGTATTCTTTCTTGAGGGAAAAAACATTTTTGTTTTACTGAGTATGAGACAACATTTAATCTGCAATCCAGAGAGGCCATTCTTTGGTTTAGTACCAAACAGAGTGTTATGAAAGAATACACATGGTATATATAGCTCAGAGCTGTTGAAAAATACAGCCATTGCTGGTTCATATTAGCTCCAGCAATTATTTCACATCTGTAAAACTACTGGACTTAGAATGCTTTTCTTAAGCATATCATTTCAAAACTATTTTCATTTTAAATGGGTGATTTTTGCATTACTGATCTAAGTTTGCAAAGAGAAATTATGTCAAAGGGCAAAAAAACCCACCACAGTAAAGGAAGCTTCTAAAACATGTTGTGGCTATATCTGGGTGAGAATATGTTGACAAATTGTAAGGCATTTAGCAAACAGCAAAAATTATGAATAAAAGTGTAAACTATAAGATTGAGCAATAGCAAAGCACAGTGATTTAAAAACAAAAGGTCTGCTTAACTGGTATGTATCTTTATCCTTTCAAATGAGGAAAGGGCAACTCCTGACTCTGCACCTAATTTAGACTTCAAGCCAGCCCTTGAGGCTGGATGGCAGCTTTGTTTGCTTAAGGCGCATTCTCCCTGGCTAGTGATACATTTGCTCTTCCTACCAGAACAATAAAATAATTTTTGTCTGGCAGGGGTGGTGGTGGTGTTCGTCAGTTTTGAAATAACTTGGTTTAATAAAAGACATTATATAGATCCTTACTTTGCCCAGATAAATGGTATGTTAGCTACACAAAAGTACTGCTGTGCTGGCTGAAGCTCTGTCTAAAGGAAGGTTAATTCTCTGTGTGTTTAGCTTTATCCTTCATGTAAAGCAGCTTCACATCCCTTGTTCTGAAGGATAGTGATAAAGCCTGAATGAATCCATTCCACAGTACTTAGTACTTGCACCTGTGTATCCTGCCAGAGAAAGACTGGTTTATGACACAGGAGCTGTTTGAAGCTGATTAAATGGTGAGACATGGTAGCTCATCATGAGTCTTGGTGGAAAGACCAAGGGTAGCTAGAAATTGTTTGGACTGATTCAGAATTATAGGTTTTGGAGTGTTAGGATAAAACAAAGCCAACATGTTAAAAATAACATTGGAGTATAGTGCTAGTAGTTTTGTAGGAGTGTTCTCTAAGGGGAAATTTTGAAAGTATTTTTAGAAATAAAGGTGAACTTTTTACTGAGGCAGAGGATGTGTTTACTTTTAAACATTAGATAATTTAGTACTTGATGAGGGAGGTTCTGGAGTTCATATATAACAACCTATTAAAATAATCCAAATTTCTTCGTCTTCAAAATGTAGTGTTCTCCTTAAAGGGTGATATTAATGGCACTCTGAAAACAGTGGACAGTGTTTTCAAACTAAGAATGTTGCAGCACATCTGTTTGTAAAATCTAAAGTCTTTTTTGGTTTCTCCTCAGCCCAGTGAATGTAATGAAGTAATGAAATATAATAAAGAAAGAGCAATTTAACAAACTGATTACTTGCAGCAGATAATATGAGGGTTTTTTTTTTTGTTTTGGTTGGGTGTTTTTGTATGTGTGTGGTTTTTTGCTGTGTGGGTTTTTTTTTCTTTGTTTGTTTTGTTTTTTCTTTTATTTCTCTGTGGTAGCTCTGAGGAGCAAAAACCTTCTCATGGGCTAATTAGTTTTCTCAGTAGGTCTGTGCATATAAAAGTGAAGAACAAATTTTCTGATTTTCCCCAGACTTGGGTACAATGAGAGTGGTAAATAGCTGGAACCTTTGAGTTGTGTTTTCTATAGGAAGTTGAAGTAGTTTAGTGTAGCATCTGGGGAAGGAAGAAATTCTTCAAAAAGTACTATTTCCTAATGCAGCATTCACCTTAATATTGTGTAGTTTATACATCATCCTATGGATATCTAGGCTATAGAAAGTCACATCCTTACTGCAGTTTGGATGAGAGTAACTATTTTTTTTAAATTTGCTATATTTTATACAGATTTTGTAATTTTTAGTCAATTTCATGATATGAATAAAATAGCAGCCTTTTCCATCTCATGTAGAAAATATTGTCCTGCTGTCTTTTCTTTCAGAATTGCTCTATTAATGCAATTGATAATAAAATAAAAAATTTAAAAGAAAAATATAATAACATACATGACTTGATATCAGACTTGTGTAAATCCTTTTGTAGTGCAAAAGAAAAGTGATGGAGAAGATTTTCTTACATGAATCCAAGACACTCTTTTTAAAATAATTATCAGGAAATAATTCTTGCAATCTTATTTAGAAGATTATTATTACAATAATTACATTTAGCAGTTTAGACATGGCTAATTAGAATAATTTTGTAAATTCAATTTTGTTTAATTTATGCTACGTTAGTTTAAATACATTTATGGTAACTTGACAAAGAGTTATTATTTATCAATTTGTCATGGTTTGATGCTGGCACAATGCCAGCGCCCCATGAAAATGCAACTTACCAATCAAATGCTGTGAAATGCGATCGAGAACAGAGCAAAGCAGGCCAAACTTAATAACAAAGGAAAGACTTTATTACACTACTACTAATAACAGAAAGGGGAAGAAAAAGGAAAAAAAACCCCACACGAACTTCAAAATGAAAACCTTCCAAAACATTCCTCCTCCCACCACCCAACTCCAACAAACCACAGCGAGACCCATTTAGATCCTTAATCCAGTTTTCACCCTTCAATATAATCAATACTGAATCCATCGGGGAAGAGAGGAGTCCCCCTTGTACCACAGACCCCCAGGAAACACAGCTACCACCTCTTGTGTTTCCAACATCACACGTGGCACTGCCCAGACACACCAGCCAGTGTGACACTCTCCTCTCCATGTCACAGTGCTCTCACCACCGTGCATGGACAGAGACTGCTTATAGGGCCCCTTTAAGGATGCTTTGCCAAGGACCACCACGAACAACAGTCCAGTGTCACATTTTGGGACTACAGTCCCCCCATTTTCTCCTGGGGCCGAGGGTCCAAGGACAGAGATCTCCTTCTCTTCTTCTCTGAAGATGGAGGGCATCCTCACACCCTCCTCAGCACTCTCTGTCCATTCCTGAACTGGTAGTTGCTGAAGGAGGTCTCTTGTCTCACCAGTGCATCCCCCTAAAATGCAGTCCCTCTTGAAAGAAAGAGTGGTTCAGTCTATGGTAAACAAGCAGAGTCCAGCCAAAAGCCACTCCATCATCTCCCCCCAACCTTCTTCTCTGAACATCTGAGGTCCCAAGCTCTCTCTCTTTCCTTCAAATTGAGGAGGAGTAATATTTCATAAAGCCTTCATTTCACAGGAAAGGGTTAAAATTCCCGGACTCCCCGGACAGCTGAAATCTCAGCCCAGGACTCATCTCCAGTCTCCCACGCTGGGCATCTTCCCCCCCCCCTTCTCCTTCTCCTCTGCCGGCAAACTCCCAGGTGTCTGCTGGCTCTCTATCTCTTTCCCTCTAGCTTAGGGGAGGGGGAACAAAGACATCCCAGATGTTCTCCACCCTTCCGTCCAAAAGAGCTGGCCCAGCTCGGTTCCGATCCTTCACCCCCTGGCCTACCTCTGCAGGCCGCATGGCTCCCCTCCCCCACCCAGCCCGGGCTGGGGGGGAGGTCCGTACCTTGCGATGACCGGAACCAAAGAAGAACGAGTCCTTCTGGGAATTCCTCTTTTAACCCCTCTGTGTTCTCAGAGGCGTGTCCACCTTCAATTGGTCACCCCAAGTGTCAGTATCCAAACCTGACCCCTGACTGGATTGACCTCTTCCTTCCAAAAAAAATTTCTCTTCCTGTGTCAAACCATGACACAATTGTAATGATTTTAAGTTGTCTTACGGTAGGCTTACTTGGGTGGCAGAACTCTGGAAGAGTCTCATTAGCTTTGCAATGCTATTTTTCTTCACAGATTAAAAACTTAAAAAAACCCCAAGCAAACAAAAAGACTTCGAATTAAGGAATTGCTGTCATAATCTGATCATCTGACCTCAAACTTTTCAGAGTAGGAAATGGAGAATATTTCAGAAGAAGCACTACAATAAAAGCCTAGCTGGGCTGAAATTAGAAATTCATTTTGCCATTGATTTCAGAGGGGACATATATCATGCCAATGATTACAGAAGTTCTGAAACACATTATATAACATGAAGATTCTTCCCTTGATGCTAGAAAAGGGATGACATACTGAAAAAGATATTTGAACAAACAACTTTTCAGTGATTTCTGTCAGAAGGTCATGAATTTACATGAATTTGCATGTGTAAACAAAAATTTGTTTTTGTTTTCTTACTAGAAGCCTTGAGTGCATATAGTAGAAAATACAATACTGAGCTTTGACTTGGGGAGGGACTGAAGAGGAGAGAGAAAAAGGGAGTGAGAAGAATGAAGCAATATGGTTCTGCCTTTTAAACAGACAGGCACCTGTGTCAGAGTATTGTAGAAATTGTTTAGGCCTTTAGCTTCTAGACATAATAAAATTCAGACTTTACTAGCTTCTCTTGTCTCTAACATTATCTCTTTTCTTTTTGCATTGGTGAGTTGAAACATTATGTTTATATAGGGACAAAAACTTGCACAGTAAATCCTTCATGATTTCAGTATGTGGCATCACAAAGTGGCAGTTTTGTGTACATTCTGCAAGAATACCTGGTTTTCAGTGGTAGTTTTTATACATCAGGTCACTCAAAGATACCAATTTCTTGCACTAACTGCAACTGAGTTAAACCATCTAACCAATTCCTTGTCTGCCAAGTGCATAGTGCACACTTTAGAGACAAGTGTGTCATATGGGATGGTGTCAAATGCTTTGCACAAGACCAAGTAGGTGACATCGGTCACTCTTCCCAGATGTACTACTGCTGTAACCCCATCATAGAAGGCCACTAAATTTGTCAGGTACAATTTGCCCCTAGTGAAGCCGTGTTGGCTGTCACAAATCACCTGCTTATTTTTCATGTACCTTAGAATAGCATCCAGGAGAATCTGCTCCATAAGCCTCCTGGGAAGGAAGAAGAAACTAGTGGCCCATAGTCTCCTGGGTCTTCTTTTTTACCCTTTTTAAATATGAGGGTTATGTCTCCCTTTTTCCAGTCAGTGGGAACTTCCTAGGTCTACCATGACTTCTCAAATATGATGGATAGTGGCTTAGCCATTCCCACTGCCAAATCCCTTGAGTCCTGCAGATGTATGTCATTGAGTCCAATGGGCTTATGCACCTTCAGGTTCCTTAGATGGTCTTGAACTTGATCTTTCCCTACAGTACGTGGTTCTATGTTGTTGTCTCTCCAACAGATATTGGGGTGGTTGAAGCCCCCCATGAGGACCAGGGCTGGTGAATGAGGCCGCTGCAATCTGTCTGTCGAGGGCCCCATCCACTCTGCCTCTGTGGATGGGCGTGTGTAGCAGGATTATAATGTTACCTGCAATTGCCCTACCTGTGCTCTCAGTCAACTCTTCCTCCATCCCCAATGAAACTCCATGTGCTCCAGATGGTCATTGACATAGATGGAAACACTGCCCCTTTGTCTCCTTTGTCTGTCTTTCCTGAAGAACCTATATCCCTCCGTTCCAGCACTCCAGTCACAGGAATCATCCCACCATGTCCCTGTCATGCCAATAGGATCCCAGCCCTGTATTATCTCTGCTTGTTTCCCTGCTTTTAATTTTTTATTTCTTTATTGTTTTGTTTGTCTTGTTTCATTTTGGGGTATTTTCTTTTTCTTTAGGATGGTGAGCCAGTTAGATCAGGAGTAGCAATGACAGACCTTGCTACTGGTCTGTATACATATGGAGCAATTATGGCTGGTTTACTTCAGAGGTATAAGACAGGAAAAGGATTATACATTGACTGCAATCTCCTGTCAACTCAGGTAGGAGTTGTAAAAAAATTGCCTTTTGTTGTGTAGATGCTTGAACCTAAGAATACTATTTGCACATAAATTAATGTGCATTAGTTAGTATAAATAGTTACAACAGTAATAATGACATTAATGATAATTTTATTAACATTATGATAATTTTCTTAACCTGCCACTCTGGTAGCGACCATTTTATATGACATGGTTACTGCACTAAGTTTGGTTTTCATTTCTTGCAAAGGACTGCCATGTTCTTTGAAAACACAGGTTAATGAAGGTTTATTATATCACTGAGATTGTAACAGTTGTAGTGAGTAATTGGAGAGAGACAAGCCTAAGTGGTGAAACCAATGTTGAAAGGAAGGTTTTGGTTGTGGGTTATGTTACTTATAGAGCGACTGAATGACTTGTGCAAAATCACCCAGAGTATTAAAGTATCACCCAAGTTTCAAAGTAATGTAATCCAGGAGGTCTGCCTTTTGGTTCTGGGAGTTAAAAGAATGAAGTAAGGTTGAAGATGCAGCACTTTTCATAGGCATTAATGGCAAAGTTGTTTTGATCATGAAAGATATATTATGTACTACATATAATGAGAACATTAAGTTTCTTCTTTGAATATTTGAACACCACTGGTGCAATGATTTATCATTTCTTAAAAGAAAGTGACATTGATATGAGCTGCATATGATCAGGCGATATGTTGTCTTGCTGATGCAGGTACTTGCTGGTACCAGCTGGGCACATGATACAGAGGAATTTTTATTTACATTTTAAAATGTACATCAAAATTAAAGCAACTATAATTGCTTTAAATTAAAGCAACTATTGTGCGCCATTGTTTTCATTATTTAATTGTATTTTTCTTCATGTTATACCTGTCAGTACAGCTGAGAAATGACTGTGCCCATTGTGCTAAAAGTTGGCCCAGGTGTGAGCAAGAGGTTGGACACCTATATCATTGTATGGTAACAATGATTGAGACTAATGATTGAGTTTGCTCTAGTTTTAGTGCCTACTGCTTTTGTCTGAATAACTACTGAAATCAGACAGGAGGGGAAATCCTTGCTTAAATCAATAAAGAACTCATTTATTTTGGAACAAATGTTTGTAAGAACTGAACTTAATTATACTTAAATATATTTGAAAATGTTGTATTTGTAATGAAAAAATGTTTAGGAGAAAAACAGTTCAGAAAAATATTTTAGAAGTGTATTAAATGCTTATTAAATATTTTGTATATATATGGATTTAGGGGAGTTTTATGTTTATGGTATGGTAGTGTTATATATTATGGCAGCTGCTCCTTGATCTTTTTAATTTCTAATTTTATACAAATACTTCTGATAATTTTTATTGATTTCAAGAGTAATTCTGGGAGGGGTATGTGCACTTAATTCTTTGTTCTAGGTTTTTGACTTTTTGTTTTTAATGAAGTCTTCTTGATTATTATTCAATATTTTATCAAATGCTGAAAGTAGGAAGAGCTGAAGTTATGTGTTTCTTTAGCTGTCTTATTTCAGCTTATTTTGTTATCTTATTTGTCTTTATAATCTTTTTCCTTGATTAGGGTAGATTTGTCTATGCACAGAAGTGTTCTTATATTGCAAAATTTTCACCTGAACTTCTGCATCATCGTCCTTTAGGCCACTCATGAGCATACACAAGGAAGAGATTGAAGACCTGGATAGATGGTAGAGAACAAAGCATGTTGCATGGTGTTTTGTCTTCTACATGATTAGTTGAAGCAGTGCTAAATATTCAAGGAAAAGCCTATTCTTTTTTTAATTTTTTTTTTATACAGTAACCCTTTCCCTGTTCATTATAGTTATCTAAAAGTTATTAAGAAGTAATTCCATAAATGCACACTCATTGTAAAATAAATGTTTTTATTTACTTCACTGTTGGGTAAATGAAAGTCAAATAATTTGGTATATTGGAACAGAATATGGATAAAAGATGTTATTCAGAAAACAGCAATTTTTTTTAGGTGACCCTGTTGCTTCAATCCAAAATAATTTTAGGGTGTCGGCCCAAGTCTGCAATGAGAACATGTATGAAATTGGAAGATGTATTTATGGGTGAGGTTCTAAAGTAAAAAAAAAAAAAAAAGAAAACATGTGATTAATTAGATTAAAAAGATGTGTTAAAATTAATGAAGAAGAATATAAGTGGCAGCTGAGTCTCTCAGAACATCTAGTTTCTTGTTCTGTTTTCTTTCTTTTTGTAAGACTGGTGGTTACTTATAAGTCTTTAGGGGGAGTATCTCTACTAAGAAAGAGTAGTACAAATCTGAAAACTAATGTAAATAAATAAAATGCTCTTGCAATACTTCTGATGGTAATCAGTTTTTTTTTTAATGAAGTTAGACAATTACTGTGATGTGGTCAGGGTCTTTAAAGATACATGTTTTCAAAAAGATTTTGGTTTTACCTCCCAGCTAGGAATCTAAAGCTAGTTTTTCCTCATGTGATGAATGTCTGAAAAGAAGGACTTTTTGAAGTTTCTCATGGATGCTGCAAAAAAAATAAGGAACCTAAAGTTTTAGACTTTCAGTTTATTAGGTTCTTGGTGTTGATTAATGGTAGGATCTAGAGGTCAAACAGAGACATTGTGATAACTTTTCCTTCAGCAAGAGTTTCGCTGAAGTGTAGTAATTTTTAATGAGAAAAAAATGAACCTACTATGTGTACTAAACCACCCTATTTATAGTGTTTTGACAGCAGGGTCTTGTATGAAACTTAGTTTTGCCAGCATTTCATGCACTGAGCTAATATAGCAGTGTGGTTGGATCTTTTATTCATCCATTCATCTGAACTGAAAATTGTGAACCTGGCCAAGACATATTCATTGTTCAGTGTTGATGACTTTGATGATGTCAGAATGGAATAGACACCCCAGGGGTTAAGTCACTCAGGTAATTAGAAAATCTTGAAAATTGTTCGTTTTGTTTTATACAGAAAACTTAGCATCTAAATGTCAATCTGTGTCTGCGCTATCACTTTTCTGCATGCCTTGCAGAAATGCAAGAGGATTTATTTTTTGTTTTCTTTTTTTGTGGAGGGGAGGGCTGGAAAATGCTTTTGATACTAATTTCCTGCACAGACATGCAAATAACCAAGAGCATTGAACTGAATTCAGCTGCCAACAAAACTGATTTGAAACTTCTTAAAGAACTATCCCACTGCCTGGCAAGTTTCATATTTGTTATCTGTGTAGAACCAAATGATTGGTGAGACCCTATTCTCTGAAAAAAATTTATTTTTAAAAATCTTAAAATATATACCTTTCTTTCAAATTCTATTTTTTAAACACTTATTAAAGAAGATTTCTTTCCCCACAAGAAAATAGGATTCTAGCTTTTTTTTTTTTTTTTGAACAAGAGATATGGTAACTCTTAGGATGTGGTTTTGTAGTGAGCAGAAATTTTCTATATCTCTCATCTATAAACTTTTAACCTGTGTCATACAATTCCTTTGAAATTTTTGACTTTTAGATGATTCACAGTTGTAAGCTTCAGACCTTCCAGCATCTAAATAGTGTCCTTTAGATGATGCTGGTAAATAAGAAGGAAGTGGGGTTTGGATTTGGTTCCAATTATGCAATTGTGCCCTTTCTTCTGTTGTGGCTTAAAAAAATCTCTTGGACATTTTAATATCCTTCCTGTATTTAATTACGATCAGGCTCCAACAAATACTCTAATAAGTTGGTTTCATTTGGATTAAAAATCTACAAGAAATACTTTACATTTAACATTTCTGCAATTTTGAATATAATTTTTCCCATATTCCACAGAGAGAAAAATATGGTTAATATTGTTTGTATAATATGATTGTTCATCAGACACTTCTCTGCTTCTAATTACTATGTTTTAGTTTGTATTTGCCATAGCAAATATCTTCTTAAAATGTTGAAATTACTCTAGAAAAACCTAGAAAGTTGGTATAAATTATTTTCTTTATTTTATTTTTGTTCTTAATTAAACAGCTAGTTTACTGAGGGAATGATGAGGGTTAGAAGCTATTAGTTTTTGTTTCTGCCTCACATTTTCCTATGATGATTCTGTTTAAGGCTCATCTATTTAAGGTGCTTTCAGTGCTATCTATTCAGGGTTTTCATGGCATGCCTTTTGGCAATTATTGAGTATACGTGAAACTGGTAACAGTTGCATACTGCCTATAGGACATACAAGGCATCATAGAATCCCTGAGCAGTAAGCTGGGTGGAAATATCAGTCTTGGAACTTAAATACTGCACAGGTGTCTTGACTGTATCTTGTTGCTTCTCCACTTGCTGAGAGTTATGAGTTGAATGAATACCAAAATAGCAAAAGAAAATAATCTTTTTTAGGGGTTATTGCTTCTGGTGATTTTGGAGGCCAGCTATGAGAACTGTTACACAGTTGTCTTGTTTTGGGGTATGGTTTGAATAAATGGGTTTTTTACAAGCTTATAAAGCATCATCTTTGCAAAACATAGTATTCTTAAACTCCATCATAATAAAAAAATTGAGCATGTGCTGTATGGAGATGTCATTTTTTTTCACTGTATAGCTCTAATATGGAAAAATAACAAATTCTGAAATAATATGAACATTTCTTTAAGCATATACTGCACTTTAAACACTTCTTGGCATGTATTCTTGACCATTTCCATTGAGGACAGCCGTATAACTAAGAACAGAATTTATCCCTCTGGGTTTTAAGCAGCCAGAATTTGATTGAATAGACCAGAAGACCATACACACATGACAGTAACTCAATTTAATATTGGCCTCTGTGGAATTTGTGTTATGATTTCTAATGATTAGTTATGCAGTCATTGGAAGAACATCCTCCAACTGGGTCTTGGTTTTATTTAGAGGCTTTCTTTACTCTATAAACAGAATACATATTCAAATTGCTAGGGAATTTCTTCTTTAAATGCTACCCAACTGTAAATTCTCTGTCTTTTTGTCTTTGCTACCATTGTTCTTGTGCTAAAGAAATCAAGCCTGAATGAGTTGCAGCTTAATTT